CGTGGGCGGTGGGGGCTTCCGCAGGGGCCACAGACATGTTGGGGAGTGGGCGGATGGCTGCCTCCGGGACCGAGGCTGAGGCCGCATGGGGGGGTGGGCAGCTGCTGCTGAGGCCAGGGCCACACTTGGGAGTGAGAGGCTGCCTCCAGGGCCAAGGCCATGTTGGGTGTGGCACAAGAGCTAACAGTAATCGAGCTGTTCAAATGCAAGTGATAGTCCATGCTAGGTATAATACTGCTTCATCATAGTATTCTTTGGTGCCTCCGGGACCGAGGCTGAGGCCGCATGGGGGGGTGGGCAGCTGCTGCTGAGGCCAGGGCCACACTTGGGAGTGAGAGGCTGCCTCCAGGGCCAAGGCCATGTTGGGTGTGGCACAAGAGCTAACAGTAATCGAGCTGTTCAAATGCAAGTGATAGTCCATGCTAGGTATAATACTGCTTCATCATAGTATTCTTTGGGCTAACTACAGCTCTGATACATAGTACTCATTATTTCAAAACTCTGTTTATTGAAATGTGATTTGCTTGGCTTAGTGTTATTTGGCTGTGTTACTGGCCCCTGCTGAAGGAAAGATAGCGGATGATGTGATCTAATGGTATAATGCGGCTCAGCAGCTCACTGTACTATGAAGTTCTACAATATATCAACCCGCTCATCATTTTACATTACTGGTGTTCTCAAAAATATGGTGGGTATGTAAGCCCCATACAATCTATTTTGCAGGAATCCTGACAGTCTACACTCACTCCACAGAGTTGCCTTCCTGGATCTTGTCAATGAGAGGAAGTGATCCAAGTGGCTGTTTTAGAACATTTAAAGGCTTCATTTTCGCTTCAAACAGCTTTGTTGAACACAGTGATCAAAAAACTGTTTGAAGCAAAAAATGGAACTTTTAAAGCTGCTAAAGTGGCCATAGAGAAGAATGTATGCAACCAGTTTGGTGTGTTGATTAGTTGTGGTATGAGTTGAAAACTTCCTGAAAAGTTTTGCATCATCTTCAGGCATTATTTTTGACTGCTGGAAATTTTACATTTTCAGCTTCTTTTTTTAATAGTGAAGTTAGTTAATTCTAATGAAAACAAAATAAATAGCCTGCACATCTTTTGCAACTTTCACCCATTTAAAAAATCAATATCTCTACCTCTATAGTGTTTAGTATGCAGAAAGGAATATTATGGGACAAATTAAACACTGGTACTAACTTCACAAATATCAGTCGTATTACATCTTGGATGAATTTGCATTTATATCTCCAGTTTAAAAAGCAGTGAAAGCCAATAAAGAAATAATCTGCAATTTATGAGTCTGTCATCCAGATTTTACCTTACTTGTCTTTAATTTGCTTACATGGCTATTAGACAGGAGTATGGCAACTGAATAGGAGAAAGGGAATACTCTTGGATCATTGAATCTAAAGGTCCCTGTTATGATGAGCAGGGAGGGACTACACACATAAAGACAAAAGGGGAAAATGTGAGACAAATTTACATTTAATTTGGGATGGTATCTTTTTAAGAGATCATGCTTTTAGATTTATCTTGCGTCATGCAAGGTGGATAATAAAACTTATCATCCATTGAAGCTGGGCAGGAAATGGGTTTTGTGTCCCATGAAAATTTGAAGCATCTGAAAAGTTCTTGTTCCAAATCAGGATGCAAATAGAAATCTCAAATTTCTCAAGCCAAAAATCTAGGTGGGAACCCAACCTGAGTCAATTGAAACTTTTGTTTTTATGATTTCCCAATGTTTTGTTTTGATCATTTTTTTAAACTGTTTTACTATATTTCACTTTAAAATTGAAACAAAAAGTTGTTCTGTACCAGAAAATTGGAGTTTTGTAAAGGTCAAAAGAACATTTTGATAATTTCAAAAAAATTTCATAATTTTTGAAATTGAAAAATTACTTGAAAATTACTTGAAACTGAACCTTTCCTGCAACAAATGAACAATATTTCATCACAAAGTTCCTCACCCATTCTGCCATTCATGATTTGATTCTGGATGAGGCCTCTGACTTTCCATATATAAGATATTTGTTAAAAACTTGGGTGCCATGATGGCACATATCTGAACAAGTGCACATGACCTCAATATTGGTGCACAAGACAAAACTTATTCCACTACTGGATGGAAAATCTTAGAGGGAACACTGCCTGCAAGCATTGCACAAGGCATGCAATTCCAGCAGATTTATGTGTAAGGACATCTCTTTCTTGGGTTGACCAGAATCCCTGTGCGGTCTTGTCTTGGTAATGAGTGCAGCATCTGTTGTAATTGTGCACGAGGGGGAATGTTGGAGAAATGGAACCCCCATGTAAAGATTGGTAGTTTGGTCCCCCAGAGGAAGTGTCTTGACCTCGTGAGGTATGGTAAACTGGAGCGAGAAGGGAAGCCCTAAAGGCCTTTATAACATGGAAAATCAAACCTGTAGGCAGCGCATATGGAGTTGGGCATGTGATACTATAACCACCACTGGACAGATTTGAACCTGGGATCTCTGGAGCTTAGTGTAGGAGCCTCTTTATAGCTCAAGCTGTAGAGGCTCTTACACCAGTGTTTCTGAAAGTGTACTGCAGAAACACTCTTAGAAACACTTTAACTGGCTGCCTTAGTTGTTTATGTACTGGCGCTGCAGGCACAGGTTTCATCCTTTGTAGCCAAGGGGAGCCATGGAAAGTGGTGGCCTGGCCCACCAAGTGAATTTGAACCTGTGACCTCTGGAGCTTATTATAGGAGCTCATACAGCTTGAGCTAAAAGCCAGTTGGCTTTCAGGTTAGGCTGTAGAGCTCCCTTGTTCTTATCTCTTGATGTAAGTGGTTTAAGTGCCACTACATGGAACAGTGAACCACACTAGGGGTACGTCTAAACTACATGCCTCTGTCGGCAGAGGCATGTAGATTTGTTTGTTCAGCAAAGGCAAATGAAGCCGCGATTTAAATGATCGCGGCTTCATTTACATTTACATGGCTGCCGCGCTGAGCCGACAAACAGCTGATCAGCTGTTTGTCGGCTCAGCGCGGCAGCCATTTAAATGTAAATGAAGCCGCGATCATTTAAATCACGGCTTCATTTGCCTTTGCCTATCTGTCTAATCTACATGCCTCTGCCGACAGAGGCATGTAGTCTAGACACAGCCTAGGTGTGTGGATTACAATACCATGAAGGTCGTAGCTGCCATGTGGTCAAGAAGTTGTAGGCAGTGCTTGGCTGTAGTGCATGTAGAGAAATAAATTATTGTAGCCAGTGTTTGAATGGCAAGGAATCTTACAGAAGGCAGTAAACATTTCCTACCTACCTCATGAAACAGAAGAACCAGAGGTCACTTAGTGAAATTTATAGGCAATAGATTTAAAACAAACAATGGGAAGTACTTCTTCACACAATGCACAGTCAGCCTTTCAACTCATTGCCAGAGGATGGTATGAAGGCCAAAATATTAGTGGGTTCAAAAAAGAACTAGGTAAGTTCACGGAGGATAGGTACATCAATGGCCATTAGCCAAGATGGTCCAATACAAAATCCCATGCTCTGAGTTGACCCTAAACTTCTGTCTGCCAGACGCTGGGACATGATGACTGGGGATAGAATACTCAGTAAATTGCCATGTTTTTCTCCCTTCCCTCCAAGGCATCAGGCATTGGCCACTGTGAAAGAACAGAATACTGGGCTAGATGGACCATTGGTCTGACCTGGTATAGGTGTTCTGCTTATTTTTATATTCGAAATTTCACAAAAAAAATAATAGTTTCTTCTTATGTCATTCATCCTGAAAATATTCATTAACAGCAGTCCTTAGCTGAAGCAGATTTGCATCAATAGCAATAATTCCCTTAGTCATGTATTATTAATAATGATAATAATTGATTGATCAGATCTGTAAAGCCCATATTAACTGAGTAAAATATTACAATTAATTACCATATTTTGATCTCTGCATTTTTTTAACTCTGACTCATACTGTGGGTGCAGCTTGTCTTAATAATACTACAAAGAGCCATAAAAAGGAATTATAATCAGAGTAGTATTAAAATTAGAACAGAACTTGGGTCTCCCCCCCACCCCCATTAGCCAATCAGCATAGCAAGTGTCCTAACATTAGAATAATCTGCTTCTGCCATCTTGTGGACAGGAGAAATTCTAACAACCAAAGCATAAAGGCAGTGGAGAGAAATGGGTAATGGTATTAAACAAATTGTGCTTTGACAGTTTACCATCCTCAGTATTTATTATTCACTTCTCAGTTTCACAGACAGTTGGTCATACATTGGTATATTTAATTTTCTGTGTATTTTTATTTTGTAAAATGCAACCATATTCTGAAAAATGTACCTAAAAGTGGGATCATGTAGTTCCAGGAATATTCTCTTTCACTTCCTATATCAAACTTCCATTATTTACAAGTAAAAAGATATTTTAACAGTCCATGATTCCAATTCAATGTTAGATCAGGAAAAAAAAGTTTTCTCTTGCCTCATTCATTAAATGCCAGTAACACACAAGAATGTGCTGTTGGTACTTAGCTGACAATGTTGTTAAGGATGCATTTGGTGAAAAAGAATCCAGCTTTTGTTTCCATTGGTTCTGCATGCTAACAGTAATGAAACTATTTCTACTTTGGCATCAAGAACAAAGGGAGAGAAAAGACACAACCATTCTCCCACCTCACACTGACTCCCAGAAGATTTTGAAGTTTGGGGATGGATTGATGCTAGAAGAGACTTCAGTACTAAGAGCTTTCTAGGCAACTCCAGAGAGCTTGAAATTTTCTTGGAACTGAGAAAAACTAATATGACTGGTGCTTTGAAGACAAACACCGCAGCTCAGGGAGAAGTCTGCCTCAGCATCCATCTCCTGGGTGCAGATCAAGCGGTCCGGATCTGATGAAGCTGTGGAGCCAGGGAATGAAATCTGAGCAAGGAATATTCTTTTTTATATCTCCTTTTGCACTTATTGGTAGACTCTATACCAGGGCCACTCAACATGCGGCCAGCAGCCCATTTGTTTGCGGCTCACAGCGCAGTTTGAGTTTACGCGGGGCTCAACACGTGGCCCGCGGGTGGGATGCTTTGTATTCATACCGTCAGTGTGTAAGAAGCAATTTGCATGTATATGCAACCACACTTAAGTTGCGGCCCACGGCATGTGCTGAGTATCATTGTGGTCCCCAGGGTTTCCAAAGTAGAGTAGCTCTGTTCTATACTATATTATACCTTGTATACTATATTATACCTATACTAACATTATACCTTGGGTCCATGGCATCTCAATTTTGGCCTCACTAGTATTTGGGATGTACTTTAAGTCCCATTCTGGGAGCCCTCAAGCTCATTAACCTCTTCTAGAAGACAGAACCTTCCAATGGCCTGTGAACCAAATGGATACCCTTCTTGGACATTTGTGTTATGGGGTGGGAGATATCAATCATGAATCAACCTTATCCTTACAGTGCATGTAATACTTAGTTTATGGAAGCCTTTCAGAATTGCATTCAGTCTTCAAAGGGACCACATCTGCATGTTATCCTCCATGGACTTGCCTGTTAATCTTTTCCTCTTTTGATTTTGGTTGTGGGGTGATTTAAGACTAAAACAACTTTCAGATTTTGGGGTGATTACAATAACGTGTGGGTTTTCTTCCACCAGATACTTAGAATCCTTAATCTTTGAGCCTCCTGTTCTCGGTTTTTCTTTGTTTCTTCTTAACTTTCTGTCAGAGATTAAAATAAATCTTCATGTTTATAAACAACCTTTCTCTTTATCAGCGGTCAGATCATCTTCAATAATCATTATCTGGATTTTAATTGTGTTTCTAGGGAAGCAGTCTCCTGATGTGATATGCATTATAGGGGCTAGATGTATTGAGTACCCCAGAAAGGTTTCTATTATTGCATTGTAAAAATCATAGAAATGTTGGACTGGAAGGGACCTTGAAAGGTCAAATCAAGTCCCTTGAATTGAGGAAGAACTTAGATCTAGACTGTCATGGGTAGGTGTTTACCTAATCTGTACTTTGAAACCTCCCATGAGAGAGATTCCACAACCTACGTTTGTAATTAGATACAGAACTTCACTACCTATGGAGTTTGGAAGTTCTTCCTAATGTCTAACCCAAATCTCCCTTGCTGCAATTTAAGGCCATTACTTCTTGTCCTGTTCTCAGTGATTAAGGAGAACTATTTATCATTTTCTTCTTTATAAAAGTCTTCTGTGTACTTGAAGATTGTTATCATGTTCCCATTCAGTCTTCTTCAGACTAAACAAACCCAGTTTTTTTCAGTCTGTCATGTTTTCTAAACTTTTAATCATTTTTTAAACTCTTCACTGGACTTTCTCCAAACTTATCCATGTTTCCCAAACTGTGGAGCCTAGAATTGGACACAGTATTCCAGTAGAGGCCTTATCAGTGCTGAATAGAGTGAAATAATTACTTCTCATGTCTTCTTTATAACACCCCTGCTGATACATCCCAGAATGATGTGTGCTTTTTGTGCAACAGTTTTACACTCTCAACTCATATTTCATTTATGATCTACTATTGCCCTGAAATCCTTTTCTGCAGTACTCCTTTTTAGGTAGTCATTTCCCATTATATATTTGTCTAATTGATTATTCCTTCCAAAGTGAATTACTTTTTTCTCCAGTTTGTCAAGATCATTTTGAATTCTGATCCTGTAGTCCAAAGTGCTTGCAACCCCTCCCAACTTGGTATATTTTGCATAATTTATAAATGTACTTTCTCTACCATTATCCAAACCATTTACGAAGATTTGAATAGAACCAGGACCAATCTCTTAGTTAGGATTTGAGTTGCTGATGTTCTAAACAATATATGATTGATGTTGTTTAAAGGTGAAGTGAGCCAATTTTGGGTTTCAGTTTTGTAAAACCTCATCAGTCAAAAAGGTTTGGATAAGAGGTATTTTGCCTTGGAAGGGGATTTAACTGGGATATATGGGGAATTTTGTACATATTTAGTAACAATTACATTTATAATAAAAAAAAAAGTTGCCCTGTATTCGTGTTCTTTCTTTCAACCAACTCTTGTCTTTTCTCTGCTATTGTAGCTCTCACTTGCAGTACCATGAGAATACAAGCTATTTGGGGAATACTATGTCTTCCTCGGTTCTTGGAAAACACCATCCATAGTTTGGGTGCTATTGCAGAAATAATAATTAATAATAATGAAGAAGGCTTGTCTGAATCTTTGCTAGATGATTAAACTTATTTATATCCGTCTAAATCTCAATAAGGAGATTTTTGTTTAATGCATCAATTGGAAAAACTGATGTCTAGTTTCTCCTTTTCCAAAACAGAACAACGAAACCGAGGTGATAACAGAGAGCAGAAAGTTCCAGGGCTCATCTCTGTGGTGGCTCCCCCATTTCCTCCCTTCCCAGCAATCTACAGTCAAAAGAGGAAAGAGATAAAGGACCGGCACTTGCTAAGAGTAAGCTTTTCCTGCACACTGAAGTTATAACTTATTATTGGACCTAATATAATGATGTTGTTGATTAGGACCTCTATCATCATACTTAATCATTACACTGTGGATTTGTATGATTACAATACAGCTGGCATCAGTCTCTGCTCAATCAGTAACAAAACACAGACTGATTTCCAGTAAAGATATTGTGGGTTACATTTTGAAGACCCCATTAGGAGAAAAATGGGCACTTGAGAGTTTATCCCTTACAGAGGTGTCACAATACCTTCAGGTGTCATTCTTAAATAATGTCTAAGCAAGATGTAGTACTTCCAAGAGGGAATTTGTTATAATTTGAGTCTTGCAAATATCATTGTGAAGAGCCAAGAATTCTATGATTTCAAATAATGATTGCAGATAGTGATACCACTCTACTACCCAAGATACCAGCTGTTATATTCATGCTCATCAATCTCCAGTTGCTTTTATTGGTAATGGACTCTGCTCTTTCATTGTACAGTACTGTATATTTAGATACTTTATTGTATCATCGACTTCTTTATTGTGACTAGCTGAACAGCCAAACAAATAAAAATGGCAGTGCAATCAATTAAGTTGACTTTAGGTACCCAAGTTTGAGCATTTAGATCACACATTGCTTTAATGTTTATAAGTTCAAACTGGTGTCTTGGCATTCTTAAACGGTCTGTGTAGTGTTTGGTACAGAATAGTTAGAACAACCCAGTAGTAAATTAAGGGTGATATTTGATAAGAGAAAAAACTAGAAAACAAAACATAATGTGAGATCATCAATTTTCAATTTTTTTAGGTGTCTAGAGCATGATATGTTCAAAATTCATCTTAATGTCTAAACTTTCCACCAAGCAGAAGTCTAAATACCACTTATTCTTCCCCTTCTGCCTTTGGTGAAAACAAAAACAATTTAGGAAAGACACAGAGTTGACAGAGCAAGGGGATTATTCCTCAGACATGTTCCCATGACAACCTTGCATATAACACCTCTCACTACAGCCATTGAAAACTGAGATGCTATGTCACTGTGACTGCAATTAAGACTTTTGTTTCACATTCTTTAATCTTTTCTTCTTTTTTTCTGGTGCCTCACTCAGTCTAGTGAAGCGTGAAGCTCCCAAAGTTCAGAATTTGAGTTCAGAATCTTGATTCTGCAAAATTGGTCTGTTTTCTGAAGTCGCTTTCCTCATCCTTAGACAAGATGTCATCTGGAACAAGTAATGAATGGAAATGACCCACCACATTACTTATTCCATCTCCCTTCCATTTTAGAAGTATTCCCCGTGGTATGTTCCCCAGGGCTTTGTCTACACCAGTTTTAAATGATTCAATGGGAAACTCAACAAAACACACCAAGTTTCACACAGTTTTGTGTTGAAGCCATGTGAAACCTCAGAGAAATACTAATGGGGCTGAAGGATTTTAATTAATTGCACTGTGTACTTCCTAAGCAGAAATAGCATCTACCATTTGTCTAAAAATCCCTCCCTATACTATTAAATCTGCAGATTGAATATGTAAAGCAATGTATAAACACTAAGTGTGGTATATATAGACCGGTGTGATAGGATTATTATTATGTGATTTCCTCTGTTAGAACACCATGTGTGGTATGACTTCTGTCAGAAAACAAATCTTATTTTTGTATTTACCTTGTCAAAACACTGAAGCATTACATTAATCATTAAAGGATTGTCAACATTTTAGCAGATCACACTTGTAATGTTCCAAACTAAAATAAACACCCACAAGCAGATAAAACAAAAACGTGTGAAAACATATGGAAATGCGAATTGTGAGAGTAGGCAGGCAAGCAAGATCGTGGTTTAGAGCAGAAAAATGGGAGAAAATAGCATAGTAAGAACTATTTTTTTCTTTTTACCTATATTGCCTGATTACATGAAAAGATACTGTGCAGTTACAGAATATTAATTTCTAAATATTGTAAACAACCCTTTGTTCAAACCACTGATCTTTTACTAGCACTTTTTTTCCTCTTCCCAACAATGCTAATTATTCCGTCAATTAAATCAGTAACTTTGCTATGGCTACATAGGACAAACAAATGATTTGTTCTGTTTTCTTAAAATTCTGTTAAAAGGAAGAATAACATTATTTAGCACTTACACCATGCTTTACATTTCCAGAGCATTCAACAAAAGTGAGTGAATTCATCCTTGCCATTTGTCGCCTGTGAGATAGAAAAGTAGCAGTCTTTCCATTTTACAAATGTGGAATCTAAGATGGCAATTAAGTGAGTCACCCAGTGCCACAGGACAAAGGCAGTGTTAGAAACAGAATTAGCACTCAGAGATCCTGGTTTTAGCACTAGGTTCAAACTTCTGGTTCACACTTCTACAGTTCATTTTCTCACTAGGTTTTTGATTTTGTATTTAAAATTATGGAGTCCTATTATTGAAGAATTACATAGTCATTTTGATAGAAGTAGGCCAAGACAAATTATATACACATTTTAAATGGGATTTAAGTGTTGTTTTGACTACATTGGAGTGAATTTCAGCTTTTTAAAATGTTATTCATAAAATCATCCTGACAGTAAGTTTCCAGCATGCTCTTTCTTTTTGACCTGTCCAGTGGTACTGAAATCAGGAGCTATAAACAATACTTAATCCCTTTTGTTTGCCTTTTTTGTTAGCTCTTGCCGATAGGGAGTTGTTAACGTTTTTGGAATTATAAACTGTGGCATTGGTCACATTACTGTCATAGCTTTGTCAGCACTTTCTCTCTTTGCAGGGGTTTGGGAATCAGCTATCAAGATTTCTGGCAGCCTGGCATTAAGCATGTGCAATTTAAATGAATCTTTGAACTAATTTTGAGAAAATATAAATTTTTAACCATTTCTACGTTAATTAAATATACAGAGAAAAAAGTTTTCTGCTCTTGAACTTTTCTGCACTCATTAAGCAGCTTTGAATACAGGAACACAAATAAGTTGTTTGCTCTTGGTTTATATTTTTCCTATATTTTTGCTAAGTGCAGTCACTTATTTTGAGATGCTAACATTTCCTGGAACACTTTCATTTCAATTGAGGCATGCTTGGTGCATAATGTAGCATGGACACTGCTTTTTTCACAAGCCTTGCCTTACTACAGTAAAACTATGCCTTACTACAGTATGCCTTACTACAGTAAAACTACTACAGCCAAGACTGTGTCTCGACTGGCAAGTTTTTCCGGAAAATCAGCAGCTTTTCCGGAAAAACTTGCCAGCTGTCTACACTGGCCACTTGAATTTCCGGAAAAGCACTGACGATCTCATGTAAAATCATCAGTGCTTTTCCGGAAATACTATGCTGCTCCCGTTCAGGCAAAAGTCTTTTCCCGAAAGACTTTTGCGCAAAAGGGCCACTGTAGACAGCACAGTACTGTTTTCCGCAAAAAAGCTCCAATCACGAAAATGGCGATTGGGGCTTTTTTGCGGAAAAGCGTGTCTAGATTGGCCACGGACGCTTTTCCGCAAAAAGTGCTTTTGCGGAATAGCATCTTGCCAATCTAGACGCGCTTTTCCGAAAATGCTTTTAACGGAAAAGTTTTCCATTAAAAGCATTTTCGGAAAATCATGGCAGTGTAGATGTAGCCCAATAGTCCGGCATCCAGTTGTCCAGCACTCCTGATAGGCCGGCATCAACTGGAAACTGGAACGGCTCAGGTCAGCCGCTCTCACGGCCGGGCCACTGTGAGCCGCATGCGCGTTCACGGCCTGCACCGTTCCGCTCATGGTCCCCAGTGCACACAGTGTCCAGCTTGCACGTGCTAGCAGCCAGCCGCTGACTACAGGCAACTGCTTTGGGACCCGAACATAAGGTTGGGGAAGAAGGGGAATTGAGTGACAGCAGGGAGGGAAGGTGTTTGGCTCTGGGGAAGGGAAGGGGAGGAGAGGGGGATTGGGTTGCGCATGGCGTCCCAGCCAGCTCATTGAAAAGCCGGCTGATCAGCGCACGTACTCCAGCGCCTGGAGGAAGACGCATGGCTGTACTGGCAGCTCCGGGACCTGAGCATAAGGTTGGGGGAAGGAGGATTGGGTTGGGGGTATGCCCCCTTATAGTACCTCCTGGTACTCCGGCATATCTGATAATCCAGCACCAGCTAGGTCCCAGAGGTGCCGGATTATCAGAAGTCTACTGTATTTGCAAGTCATAAATGACACTGGAGCCCATACTCTCGGGAGGAGAAAAGGGGGAATAAAATAGTGGTTTTCCACTCACTAGAGCCCAGCTACATTTCCTATCTCTCATCCAAATGCTGGAGCAGGAAATGTATTGAGTTGGTCTATGAATTGTCAATGTGGCAAGTGCATGACTACAGGTGGTTCTCATAGTCACTTGCATTGATTAGTTTTAAGGTTTGTTATGTTATACTGCACAATAGTGGTTAACCTAAAAAAGATGCTGAAAACAGGATGATGTATCTGTGCAACTAAGATTTTTTTACATGGATAGACTGATATTTCAAAGACTTGGCACATTAACAATTATAGCAAGTAAGTCCTTTGGTGCCTTAGAAATTAACAAAAATCTATAGAATCATGAGCTTTTGTGGGTAAAACCCACTTCATCAGATGAGTTGAAGAGTTGCATTGAAGATGATGGGATCTTTCATAAAAGTAATGATACTCACGTGTCAGTGTTTGCATCGTAAATCCCTAAGTAATTAATTACAGGCAGTCCCCGGGTTACGTACAAGATAGGGACTGTAGGTTTGTTCTTAAGTTGAATCTGTATGTAAGTCGGACCTGGCGTCCAGATTCAGCCGCTGCTGAAACTGATCAGTTTCAACAGCGGCTGAATCTGGACGCCAGGTCCGACTTACATACAGATTCAACTTAAGAACCCCTGCAGACCAGGGGGACGGGGAGCAAAGCAGAGCAAAGCCGTGGAGCACGCGGACAGCTGACAGCCCAGACGCGTCTGGGCTGTCCGCTGCCCGCGTGTTCCGCCGCTTTGCTTCCTCTCCCTGGTCTGCTGGAGACCAGGGAGAGGGAGGGCCCCGTTCGTAACTGCGGATCCGACATAAGTCGGATCCGCGTAACTCGGGGACTGCCTGTACACACTAAACTGGAATGGCTTCAGAAGAATCTTTCTAGTGTAATGCAGAAAAATACCTTCAAAATTCTGAATTTATATTTAACAGTTGACTGTAGTGCTTGGAAAACCGCCTGATGCAAAATGCTCTGAAAACCCAGAATGGTCCTGGGAGTTTAATATGACTTCATAACTAATTTTACTAATTTCCCAAGACAGCTAGAACTGGTCTTTTGAGTTTGAGAGATTTTTTAGAGCTACTCAACCTTCCAGTTATGACTTATTTAAATAATGACACTTTGTTCTTTCTTAACATTATCCTACCTTTTTTCATAATGGAGTGAGATAAGGACAGATTGGAATTGATACTCTCATCAATCTTTGACTTTCTTAGCTTTTGTTGGTGGTGGTCACGATTGCAATTTAATTGCTTTATTTGAAGACAGTAAAATTTAAATTTAGGACAGTTCATCTGTTGCTAGGTACTGAGCTACGACCTGGGAGATCTTAGTTCAATACCCTGTTCTGCAACAGATTTGCTATGTAATCTTGGACAAATCAGTGTCTTTCCACTGACTTCATTGAATTTGGATCAGGCCTATAATCGCTCTCTGCCTCAATCTCCATTTGTAAAATTGGTATACTTACTTGCTTCCTGCCTTTGTCTTTTCTATTTGGAATGTAAGATTTTAGGGGCTGGGACCATCTGTTACTATGGCTGTTTAATACAGCAGGATGCATTTCTCAGTTGGTACTTCTAAGTGGTAAATAGATAAAAATAGCAAGAACTATAATAAAATAATTATATTAAGGTATATACCAACCATTCAAGACACAGAGATTCACCTGTAGGTGGTCATAACGTTAAGATTTTATTAAGGCTCCCCCCTTGCAAAGTATTCAGCACCTGGCAGGAGTGAGCCTAAAAGAAGTAATGTTTGAAAAAGACAGTGTTTGATCTGTCTGAATCTGCAGAATGTAGAGGGAACTTAATGATGTTAATAGATGCCAGTTTGACAGCCTGTCTAAAAATCTGTATTTAGCCACAACACAGACAAAACACCAACAGCAACAGTGCTAGCTTCCTCAAATTGCCCCACCAAAGTGCCTCACTCTTACCTGGAATTGAATGAATAGTTTGTCTCATGCAAACTCAGTTCTTGGCCTCAGTGCTAAAAACTGCCACCACTCATGGCTTTGTTTTTGTGATGGAGTCTGTTGGGAACTGAAATGGGATCACTGATCAGTCATCAGATGGCAAATATTTTCAATCACTGCCAACTGGCTGGATTTTAACTAGTCATCCAGGCAGGGCCTTGACTAAGAAAAAAGATGGGTTCTTAACTGAAATGCTAACTTGAGGTAAAAGCCCTAGTGAATTCAAGGCAGTCTGTAGTTTTCACATGAGTTGACAAATGGATTTAAGATTGTCTTCCCATAGTCTTTCACACAATCTGATGACTTGTGTGCAAATTATAAACTGCCTTATCTTTGCTGAGATTTAACTTGAATTAGCTAACTTGCATTAAGAACACACCTTTTTTTTCCCCTAAAGGGAAGGTCTGAGAGTGGAAAAGCCGATGTTTTAATAATTCTATCTTTTAACAAGTTTTTCTTCAGCCATTTATTATTTTTTTCCATCTTCATTGATTTTTAAATACCCAGTATTGTGGAGGTAGTCATACCAAAGTTTGTCTTTAAAGTTGTATTTCAATGAAGATCTTTTATGTTCTCTCATCATTGGACAATCCTAACATTTTTGCCAGTAGGATTCTGGCTGCACAAAGCACTTCTAATGTAGATTATGGCCTCTTACTTATTATGTCATTCAGAAATCCTGTAACATCTCTGTGCGCACCGAATGCCTTTACCAGTGCAGATAATTTTAGACTATTATATGAATACAATGTTATTCTTTTATTGGCGTTTTATGGCTGCTTTTAGCATTGGAGTACAGTGTCTTCATTTTTTTAAATCCACTTAGGAATATTCAAAAACATGTCATTCTTGGAAAGTAATTCAGACATTCTACAGTCTACATTGAGCAACAAAGCATTATTAACGATTTAAAGAAAAACACTCCCCATCAATCAAGTGATTTTAGCCTCTCTTCCACTATCCCATATAGGATTGCATTTTCTAGGCTCCATTTGTACATTGAGTTCTGAGAATGCTAGTAATGGTAGCTGGCTAGCAAAGCAAAATCTACTATTAGATAAACTAGTTTTTGTTGCTGTGGTACCTAGAAAATCATCATTAATGTATCCCATTTCTTGAGAGGGTCTGTATTTTGAAAGGGATCCCCCTCCACTTTTGAGCAAATAAAAACTATTTTACATATTAGTAGTGATGTCAAGGGGACACAAATGGCACATTTGAAGATATTGTGGCCTTTGAGAGAAGCTTGGGAAACAGGAAGACCATACCAGTAGTCACTGCCTAATTCTGGGAACACTGGGCTAGTACAGATACTACTCACGCCTTTGTAGGATAGAGCATATGCTCCCATTTCGCTGAGGCCATTTTCTCTACCTAATTTGTGGCCAGAGTCCCAATCTTATTCCTTTTGAGGAGACAGGTGCTGGTTGGCACACTAAGATGGAGCAGCCCTTGCATTCATTTTCATAGAGCAGAGGCATGAAGTTGGAGAGAAGGAATCCCCATGCTCTTTCCTCTCCCTTGTACACCTCTGCACTGACAGGCCCCATGTAGCTCTTTGTTTAACAGCACAAAGATTTTCACATTTAAGATAATGTCACTCCCAAGAAGTCCATCTCAACAGATCAGCACTTTTCTTAGAAATCCTTTGAAATCTTCAGCACCAACATTGAATTTTGGGGATAATCTCTACTGTTGTAATTCTGCTTTGGGCATATGACTGGTTACTAGGCTGGGTGATGAAAGGATAACATCATCCTTGCATATCTGAGTTAGTGGAAACTTCAATTATTTGCATAGTAGTCTTTCAGTTCCCATCATAAACCATGAAAGCATTTGTCTGCAGGAATATCATCCACTGTTCTGTGCTAAAGTCATGTTTCCTAGCCCATTTCCCATTTTGAGAGAATTTGGTTTTGCACCTAATCTAGATGGCTTGCTAGTGATTTTTAAAAATTGGAAGTGGTCTCTGATTTGATTTATGCCTCCTTTTTGCATAAGATGTGTGGAAAGCTAATTCTGGAAGCTGCACATGGAAGCAAGATAATACTGGTGGGGTCTCTGCAGTGTAGATACTGGGTAGATGTAAAGGATGATGATATTTCCATGGAAGGTTGTCTTAGTTCAGTATCAAGAATTAGGAGCTAGGAGCCCCAGCACATCTGTCTGATTGCTGTGGGAAAAGATACTCACTCCAGTGGTTCTCACACTGTAGTCTGTGTTACACCAGAGCAGATATGTTTCAGTGTCAGTAAAGACAAAAGAAGGCTCCTGATAGCATTTTTCTTCTGTGAATAGCCTGCAAAATGAGACCAGTTGAGAACCACTATTAGCCAAACTGAGAAACATTTGATAAAACTTTTCAAGGGCTACATTTTGTTTTCTTTTTTTGGTCATTTCAAAACATGTTATATTTCAGTCATAGGTGTTAAAATAAGACACTAATTGCAAACAAATCAGGGCCTTGGAATCTTGCAATTCACCCGGAACATGTAATGTGCCAAAATCTATATTTCCCCCTTAAAATACATGCAAAGGCATAGGAAGCCAATTGTTCTTTCATTTTGACATAATGCTTAAAACTTAGCGGCTACGTCTACACTGGCCCCTTTTCCGGAAGGGGCATGTTAATTTCAGCTATCGTAATAGGGAAATCCGCGGGGGATATTTAAATCCCCCGCGGCATTTAAATAAAAATGTCCGCCGCTTTTTTCTGGCTTTTAGAAAAGCCGGAAAAGAGCGCCTACACTGGCCCCGATCCTCTGGAAAAAGCGCCCTTTTCTGGAGGATCTTATTCCTACTTTGAAGTAGGATCTTATTCCTACTTTGAAGTAGGAATAAGATCCTCCGGAAAAGAGAGCTTTTTCCGGAGGATCGGGGCCAGTGTAGACGCTCTTTTCCGGCTTTTCTAAAAGCCGGAAAAAAGCGGCGGACATTTTTATTTAAATGCCGCGGGGGATATTTAAATCCCCCGCGGATTTCCCTATTACGATCTCTGAAATTAACATGCCCCTTCCGGAAAAGGGGCCAGTGTAGACGTAGCCCCCATGTTTTACTTGTAACGTCAAAAAAATTGAAATGGAAGATTTAGATCATCTTTAGAGACAGCCTTATTTACATCTATTATTTTTAGCTGAGCAAATCAATATTTAACTTAATCATGAAATAGATAATTGACATGTAATTCAGATACACACTTTACAAAGATTTGGCTTAAATCTGAAAGGAATTGACTTCAGAGTGCCTTACATAGATTTGGCGTAAGATGATTTAATAGTGGCCACACCAAGGCCCAATTTTAGTTGCTAAACCAATTTAGCTAATTCAGTACAGTTTTGAGTTGTGGACATGTTTTTAGGCACCAGGTGATGAGATGGCAGTTTGGAGAAAAGGAACATTTTCAGGAAGGTGAATTTTTCAGCTGGAAACTTAAGTTGTATTTATAGCTCAATTTAAATTTTTTTACCAGTTTCTCTAGAAAGAATTGATGTGCTTTAATCAAAAACATCTTGTGTATGTTTTTAATTTTATCTTTTTCCTTTCCCCACATTTCATGTTTATAGTTTAACAGCACCCGCTCGCCCTCTCCCACTGAGTGTTGCCACATGACCCCATGGAGTAGAAAGGTATTGGAAAAACAAGCATTCTTAAACTAACATCCCTAGCTCATTCATTTTCTCCTTTTCAAAACTCTAACCCTTTCTTTTGCTTGCTTTTTTTCTTGTCACTTTCTTGCACTATCTCAAAGAAAAGTTTGATGTGTTATTCTCTTATCAATAAGGAACAACGGTATTCCCCCTCTCCCCACAACTTTAATAGGTTTACTGGACCACAAGATCATTTCCTCCTATGACTAGCTTTTAAGATCTGGATCTAGATGAACTCTATAATGTGGGTGATTGCATTTTATTTTCTTGCAATGCTCAAAATAGACCAATATTATTCAAAACCATAAGAAGCCATCAATATTATGCCAGAGCAAAACCATCATTTATTCTGTGGAGAGTTGTCATTCCCATTGTTTGCAAACAGTAGCTTCTGCAGACAGTCAGAGCCTGCAGTCAGGTCACTACACTTTCTTTTGTCCAGCAATCCATTGTTATTCAGGGAAGAAATCAGCAGCAAAGTGAGAGAGAGAGAGAGAGAGAGAGAGAGTGTGTGTGTGTGTGTTTCTCCAATGCCCCAAACTTTTTGGGGGGTGGTTATGGGGGAGAAGTTACCTAGGAAACAAAGTCTTTTGTGCTTGAAGTTTATATGAGCTACTCACGTCTGCTGGTGATCAGCACAAAAGCTGAGAAGAGAAAGAAGGCTGCAAAGCTTTACTAAAACCATATATGGAAAAAAACGTTTTTCTCAAGGGGGGAAGATACGCTGTCTCTTGGGTTTGTGGGTGTTTTTGCAGATTACGCTTAAGGTAAGTGTCATGGGATAGTTTAAATAAGTGGCTGCTAAGTATGATCTGAAACCCTTTTCAAACTGATTTGGAAACGTTTGCCAGGCTTTAGGTCTTACACTTTTACAGGATTTGTGGGAGCTTTATTTAGAGGAATGGCACAAAGATGATAAATGGGGTGTGATTTTCTCTAATTAGGTAGCTACATGCTAAATGCTGTGCCAAGAAAAGGGAGAAAAAATGTTTGTCTTGATCACATATATGCACAAAACTCTGGAATTATATATTGTAAACAACAGTCACAGGCAAGAGCTCCAATAGTTTGCCTGCTGGGAATCTAACACTGGAAAGAAAATCAGGCTCGAAAATATTCCACAGAGTTTAGGAAAAGACATGAACAGATGTTCTGAACTAGTCAAAGACTGATCATACACTACAGAGAAATGTATTAACTGAAAAAAAGAGGAAGGTAGGGTGGACATAGAGTAAGGCATGTGTTTCCTCCCTCCCTCCCCTCCTCCAAACAAAATGGAAACAAAACAGAATTTGAAAATGTGTCTTTAGCTATAAAGTTAGGAGAACTATTTTTCATATTTTACTTTTTAGATGAAACTACAATAGCATTACAGTTCTGGGTGCTTATTCTGTTTAAAACACCTGTTTTTCTTCCGAGTAACTGACTTTTCTCTTGCTTAATTAGCTTTCTATACTTCCATGTCTAGTGGTTTGTTCCATGTCTTAGTATGTTCTAAAATACTTGCATGTTTTCTAAATAATGCTTTGAACTTCTTAAATTGGCAGCTAAACCTCTCCTTAGTTATCCTTCTTCTTGACACCAATATAATCAACATAATCAGTTACAGCCAAATGTATAGCTGTAGGTTCCCTGTTATCTGAACTAAGAATTGATACTTTGAAGGCTTTGGATCTCTTGATGCATAGTCTCAAATTAATATTTACATGGTACCAGTTTTCAGTGGCAGTCACTGTACTTATGCATACCAAAACTTTGCATGCACATTTACCATGATTTTATGTGCATATACTAGACTGGCATTTACAAATCAATATTTAGATACCTAAAATTGATTGTAATTGTGCACACTTGCAATGGATGCACAAAAAGTGCATGCCTCTACTCTTTCAAAGTGTGTCCATATAAATTTAATCTACACTAAAATATTTCCATTATGTTGAGGAATTTGTCTTTTTAGTGCACCCCATTTATCCATGGGAATAATAGTAGTACCATTGTTCTGAATATCTATAATTATTCATTCCTACCCTGTAATCTACTTCTAATCTCTTTCTACTACTTTGTTTAAATATTAGTCTTGTATGACTGAACAGTGAACACTAATTTTGAATGTATTAATTTACAGTCCCATCCACCAGAAGAGGAAGATACAGATGTCATGCTAGGGCAGAGGCCGAAAAATCCAATACATAATATTCCTTCTACACTGGATAAGCAAACCAATTGGAGCAAAGCATTACCTCTCCCAACTCCAGAGGAGAAAATGAAACAAGATGCCCAAGTGATTTCCTCTTGCATTATCCCCATCAATGTCACTGGTACAAGTCTCTTCTATTTCTTTTGCTTGATTAAAGGGTGGTCAGGTCAGGAAATTTTATTATATTAACTGTGGTTCAAAACACAGGACTTTACAACCTACAAGTAAAGACTTGAGAATTTAATTTTGTACAAGACACTAAGCGGGCTAGCTTTGTCCTTCCTACAAAGCCACTGAAGTCAGTGGCATTATATATCCAATATTAATTTGGCCCAGTGTGTTTGTGTCACATTACAAACTGTTATCTAACACTAAATTACACAATATGATGTGTAATTTTGTTATGTATGTGACTGGCAATTGGTATTTAAAAGGATAAAAAATAGCTCTTTGAATGTAGCTAACTGAAATAATGAAAAAACCCATAGTGGTTAATCATATGATAATCATGTGTAACAGAGCAAATAAGGGCAGAGAAAATGTTATGGCACTTGCGGTACTTTAAATATGCAAGTAATGGTAATGTAGCATGTAAGCCATTGCTTTGAGATCTTTTTTCGTGCTGCTAAGTTGAAGGTATAGTAATGGCATCTTCATTTATTTATAACTCTTAGTTTATGCTTTATATATTTTAACAGTGTATTTATACATTATTATACAGCAGCTTTATAAATGATTAAATGTGAGGGATAACTTATTTCCAAAAGCCAAAAATAAGCTTTCTTTTCTTTCTCTCTGTCTTCTGTCTCTTTCTCATGTGAGATTCAGTGAAGGGATTGCTAATATCATCTGAGTTTTTCTCAAAACTATCTTGAACCAATTTTTTATTAATTTAAGAGGATTAACTTAGCTCTATGACTGAAAGACTCAAGTGTAATAATCAGCAAGAAAAGCTGTGTACTTACAGTTAACCTTATAACTAGAGTTGGGTGAAATCGTTCAGCTGAAACTTTTTTCCTATGAAAAATGCAGATTCAGCTACACCAGAGTCAATTTTTCCAAATTGTCTTTTGGGGAGGGGAAAGGGGAATCTGAAAAAACTGAATCTTTTCATTTCAGCCTTTTCTAAATGATACATTTTGATTTTTTTTCCAGTTGAAAGGACTTTTCATTTCAAGATGTCCTTTAATTTTATTTTTAAAAATTAAAAATGTAAAAATTGTCAAAATTGAACTGAAACATTTTGAGACTTTTTCAGAGCCAAATGTTTGTTTTGTTTGGTCCAAAACAATTTTATTTATTTATGTTTTCATATGGCAAAGGTTTGGAAAATTTTCGGTTTCAGTCTAAACCAAAACATTATTTTCAAAATTGCCAATGAATAAAAATTATTTTATTTACACATCTCTGTTTAGAACATAAAAGTAATTATTATTCCTTTGTGCTTTTTAATACTGCTATAATCAGAGAAAAGCGTGAGGGTCACATATCCTTATGGGATATTAGAATAGAAAGTAATACTATCATAATTACCGGGAGTAATTATAAGTACAACGTGAAGCCTTAAAGAGTATATTCTTCTCAGCATGCATGTACCAATTTCTTACCTTCACTAAAGTTACACAAACATATTTGGAGAAGAGTATACCTTTAGATCTGTAATAAAAGTCAGTTTTTCTAGTAACAGGGATTTTTTTTAGATTGTCATAAATTGGAACCAAATTTCCACTGATCAGTTCATCACTCAAGAATGGTACATAATCTTCTGGGTGTTCAATTTGTATCATTCTTATCAACACTAATGTGTATCATTTGTACACATAACGGGGAAAGTATATCCTAGATCAGTGTGGTCTTCAAACTTTTTATGCCCAAAATCCCTTTTTGAATTTAAGGGCAATTCAGGATCTATCCCACCCCTTCCCCGAGGCCTTGCTTTTTCCCTGAAGCACCACCCTGCTCATTCCATACCCCCCTCTCCCTCACTCACTCTACCCCACCCCACCCCACCCCCACTCACTTTCACTGGACTGGGGCAGGGAATTGGGGTGCAGCAGTGGATGAGAGGAGCAAGGTCTGGGAGGGAATTTGTGTGCAGAAAGGGGCTCTGAGCTGGGGTAGAGGGGTGGGGTACAAGAAGAGGTATGGGGTGCTGGCTCTGGGAGAGTGGTGAGGGCTGGCACAGAGTGCAAGAGAGGGGGTAGGGGGGGTGGCTCCAAGGGGCTGCAGGTTGAGTAATGGAAGAGAAATGCTGATCCAGCATAGCTAGGACTGCTGTACTTGTGCTACTCCTGATTTTAAAGCTGCAAAGCCATTCAGCTCTCAACCCCCCCAAAGCATGGGACCTCTGCAGCAGCTCTGGTTCTCCATTCCTGGCAATGGGAGCTGTGGGGGTGGTACTTGCAGGCAGGAGTAACATATGGATAGAACAGTCCCATCTATAGGATGATTTAGCCCTAGGCCCCATGCTTTGGGGGGGAGAGGGAGGGGAGTCCC